TGGGGACGTGAGACCCCTCAAGCCGTGCTGGGATCTGTGTGGGACCCCCCCAACCCTCTGCCACCCACCCAGCGCCGGCACCGCCCTGCCCCGCACCCCGGCACCCCCGTTTTGCTGCCGCTGCACCGCTGACACCCCTTTGCGATGTTCGTCCAGGCTCAGCCGCCGGCAGCACCGGGGCCTGCCGGGGAAGGCCTGAGCGTGTGGCTTTCCGTCCCCGAGCAGTGCTGGGAATCCCTCGGAAGACGCGAGTTTCCACCGCCGGCTGCTCCTGGCACAGGCGCGGGTGATGGCAAGGCCGGCAGCCGCCACCTCCCCGCGCCCAACCGGCGCGGAGGGGCTGGGGGCACGGGAGCCGCGCTGCGCGGCGGGCACGTGGGCTGCCAGCACGGTCCGTGGGTCTCTGGTGTAGCGTGTGGCTACCTGCCATGGTGGTGTGTGGGTACCTGCCATGGGGCGTGGCTACCTGGCATGGTGCAGGGATCTCCGGCACGACGCGCTGGTGTGAGCCGTGCCCATGACACCCAGCAGCAGCGTGGGGTGCACAGCCCGTGACACCCCCTGATGAAGCAGAGGGGGGGCTCAGACACAAGGAGGGCTCCGGGCCGGCGGGGGCCATGGAGGTTGCCGGAGCCGGGGTGCCAGCCGGGCTGGTGGGGAGATGCTCCGGGTGGGGCGGTGCAGCCGGGGGGTGCCCGTGGGAGATGCCGAACCCAGGCAGGGTGGGATGCACAGCACCGTCGGTGGGGTGTCAGCACCGTCAGCGGGTGCATGGCGGAGCTGAGGCAGAGTTTTTTGGGGTGCCCGGCGCTGGCTGCGCGGTGCCGTGGGTGGGCCGGCACTGCCGGGGTGCTGGGTGCTGTCCATAGGGCGCACCGGGGGCACGGCCTGCCTATGGGTGCTGGCAGGAGCGCTGACATTTGGGGGGTGCTTATAGCCGGGGGATGGACGTGCTGGTGTGCGGCATGTAGGTGTTACCAACTGGGGTGTGATGGGGCTTTTGGG